ACCAGGGGCACGTTCCTACACCAGCCCTTGTGCTTCACATCCTGCGGAATTTTAATTATTTTGCTGCTAATGGGTTTTTGTGCTCCCTCATGGAAGGTGCCTGCACCTGGGAGGCCGGAGGTACACCAAACCCTGCGAGCAGTGCAATAAACACTGAGCCTGCTGCATTCCCACAGAACACATGGATTAAAGGGCAGATCCCTGGGGAAGATCAGGTCTGTGTCCCCAGCATGTGACAGCAGCAGCATTCACAGCCCAAAAACGGCTCCTGATGGGAGCAGTGACCAACTGCAGAGAGCAGAGCAGCCCTGCATCCTGGGCACTGAACGACTGGTGACTCCGTTCTCCACACGGCGTCTGTCCTCCCTTTTGTGGGAGTTCCATCGGGTCCCTCTCTGCTCTCCTGTTCCTGAAGGTGCTGTGGGAGCCGTGTCCCAGCCCTGCCCAGGGGTGCCCAGGTGTGTCCCAGGTGTCTCCCAGCTGTGTCCCAGCCGGTCCCTGGTGTGTCCCAGCCATGCCCAGGAGTGTCCCAGGAGTATCCCAGGGGTGCCCAGGTGTGTCCCAGCTGTGTCCCAGCTGTGACTGCAGCCATGTCCCAGGTGTGCCCCAGCCGTGCCCAGCCGTGCCCAGGGGGGTCCCAGGGGTGTCCCAGGGGTGTCCCAGCCGTGCCCAGGGGTGTCCCAGGGGGGTCCCAGCCGTGCCCAGGTGTGTCCCAGGGGTGTCCCAGCCGTGCCCAGGGGTGTCCCAGGGGGGTCCCAGCCGTGCCCAGGTGTGTCCCAGGGGTGTCCCAGCCGTGCCCAGGGGTGTCCCAGGGGGGTCCCAGCCGTGCCCAGGTGTGTCCCAGGGGTGTCCCAGCCGTGCCCAGGGGTGTCCCAGGGGGGTCCCAGCCGTGCCCAGGTGTGTCCCAGGGGTGTCCCAGCCGTGCCCAGGGGTGTCCCAGGGGTGTCCCAGCCGTGCCCAGGGGTGTCCCAGCCCCAGCCCTGGCTGTGCCCAGGTGTGTCCCAGCCATACTCAGGTGTGTCTCAGCCGTGCTCAGCCGTGCCCAGGGGTGTCCCAGGGGTGTCCCAGCCGTGCCCAGGTGTGTCCCAGCCGTGCCCCAGCCGTGCCCAGGGGTGTCCCAGCCCCAGCCCTGGCTGTGCCCAGGTGTGTCCCAGCCATGCTCAGGTGTGTCTCAGCTGTGCTCAGCCGTGCCCAGCCGTGCCCAGGGGTGTCCCAGGGGTGTCCCAGCCGTGCCCAGGGGTGTCCCAGCCCCAGCCCTGGCTGTGCCCTGCCAGCCCGACGTGCTGCCCCGCTGCAGGAGAAGTTGCAGCACTTTGTCACGGTTTGTTCCTGAGAATCGGCGGTCGCTGCTGCCGCGTGCTCGGTGAGGACTGGGCTTCTCTGACTCACAGCTCTCCAGGGACTGAATGTTAATCCCAGTGTTCTCTGCCCTTTCCACGTCTCCTGTTGCCTCACTCCACGCTGCTTTTCATTCCCATTTATCTTCTGTTCACGCTCCAAGATCTCTGCCAGCAGCCCTTGGGCTGCCCCTGCCCCCTGGAAGTGCTCCGTGGGAACTGTCACCCTGCCCTGCTAATTTTAAACCATCTGCTTGATTAGCTTTTAATTGTTTCTCCCATTCTGCCTGATTTCTTACTTTGCTGCTGATGTTAGACTACTTCAGGAAAAATGATTTAGACAAAGAACCAAGTAAGCGCCATGCCTGGCCACACCATCCATCACTCCCCGTGCTTCCCCACCATTTGAATAGCAGAGCAGCTTGCACTTTAATCTGCCTCTTGCTGAATGCAAATCGCTTCTTGCCTTCCCATCCTTCTCTGTGCTTTCCATGCTTGTGCCATTTCCTTCTGTAAATCATCACTTCTGGTTTCTTCTCATGCCAGGGATCACCACAAAGGTGGGAGTTTGTGCCAGGTGCCTTCTGGTGCCCTTCTTGCCCAGTCATTGCACTGGTGGGGTTTGGGAAAAAAAAAATTGCTATTTTGATTTCATCTCTAATGAGCCCCATGGGTTGCTGAAATGTCACCTCCTGGGCATTGTCCTTGTGCACTGTGAGAATTCTGGAGTGGTTGGGGTTGGAGGGACCCCAGAGCCCACCCAGTGCCACCCTGCCATGGCAGGGACACCTTCCCCTGTGCCAGGCTGCTCCAGCCCCAGTGTCCAGCCTGGCCTGGGGCACTGCCAGGGATCCAGGGACAAGGAGATATCTCTACCTCAGCATTCCCAAGCCCACCTTGCTGAGGTCCAGTGCTTTCAGCTATGAAACCCAGACAAACAAAAGCAAACAAAACACCCCACAGAACGGAGATCTGCGGCAGCGAAGGTCCTGCTCAGTGGCATTTCTTCTCTCCTTGAAACAATCACCACAGACACCACGGGAATGTCACATTCCTGCATATTCCTCTTTGGGAAGGGACAAAAGTCGGATATCCCAGGGGCAGAAGGGATTTTGGGACAGGGCTGAGACCAAGCAGTTCACCTTCCTCTTCCTCCCAGGTGCTGCCTCTGTGCCTGCAGTGCCTCCCCAGCTCTGGTGCTCCAGCCCAGCCCCTGCTGGCCCTGCCCAGGACCCCCTTCCCTCTGTGCTGCCATGTCCCTCTAACCCCTCTGACTCCTGGCCCCCTCCCAGAGCAGCCCCCAGCCCCTCCCCAGCCCCTGCCTTGGGCACCGCCTGCCCCAGCTGGGCACATTCACCTGGCCAAGCTGCACCAGCCCACCCTTGCGGGTGAAAACCAGGAATGCTGAGAGCCCTGGGGATGGGCTGGGAGCGCCTGAGGAGGAGCTGGCTGCAGGCTCTCTGGAGCTGATCCCAGAGCCCCTTTGCAGGATGAGCCCAGCACGGCTGGAAGGCACCAGGTCAGATCTCCCTGCAGGCACAGCGTGCCCTGGGTTTGGCACAGGAGCAGATCCCAGCGCCCTTCTGAGGGACAGGGAGCTGGGCACCCGCTGGACACAGCAGCAGAGCAGAGCAGGGCCCACCCTGACAGACACCAGGGGCTGCCCAGGGCACATCCCCTCCACCCCAGCAGCTCTGCCTCCGGAGCTGCTTGGGTTTGCTCCCCTCTTCCCTCCCTGCCTGGGCAGGCAGGGCAAACCTCACCCCCACACGGGCTAGAAACGTTTCTGAGCCCTGTCAGCTGTGGGCTCCACCTCCAAATTTTGGAGGCAAGAGAGTGTATTTAGGGCAATTCGATTAAATGCATCATATTTGAGTGAGAGAGGGCAAGTGCTTCTCTGTTTCATGTAAAGGCAAGGGATTACTGGTCAGCTGAGGCAGAGGCTACATCATTGCAGTATTTTAAATAAAAATGTGCCACAAAAGCTTCTGGAAATACCTGCTCTGATCTAAAAACTCCTGAAAATATTTGAAGTCCTACAAAGCTCTGCAGCCTGGCCCTGGCCTGGCCCAGGCAGCCCTGGCCTTGCCCACGGGCAGGGTGGGAGACAGAGTTTGCCATGAGATCCTCCTGCTGAGTCCTGAGGAGCAGAAGGACCCCCAAACACTCCCCAGAGACCCCCAAACCACCACCCACCCCAGCTGGGCCCCATGGCTCCTGAGCTGCTCCCCAGAGGTGAGGCTGGGTCCCAGCCCAGCCCCAGAGCTGCTCAATGGCTCTGTGCAAAGCTTTGCACAGCTCTGACTGAGCCTGCACCTGACCTAATCCTCTAGGACTGAGGCTGGGAACCCAAATAAAGATATCTATGTAAATAAATGATTCATTATGAAAATGAATAGACTAAGAGATCAATCAGCATTATTTACTGCCCAGCACAATACAATACAATACCAGTATAATGTCTGAAACAAGACTGAGGCAATTCTGTTAAAGGCAGCAAACCCCATTGTTGAGCAGAGGTTGGTGATTATGCCCCTCGCCCAGACCAGGGCAAATCTCTTTGGCCCAGCCTTGAGAAGTGACCTTGAGGGGCATCCCCAGGAGGCACTCGGGCAAAGGGGCTGGTGGAAGGTGCCAGGTTAAAAACCTGGGACTGGGCTTTTCCAGGATGAAGGCCCTGGCGTGGCAGCCAGGTGTCTGTGGGCTGTGCCAGCTCAGCAGCTTCAGGGAAGGCTCAGTGGTGTCACCTGGGGGTCCTTCCCCTGCTCTGCCACACCTTCACCTCACTCAGTGTGGAGCTGTGATAAGGAAGGCTCAGTGGTGTCACCTGTGTCCCCTGCTCTGCCACACCTTCACCTCACTCAGTGTGGAGCTGTGAGCTTGAGGAGCAGGCTGGTTTCTGCTTTATCCAGCCCAGAAGCAGCAGGGCCCCTCTCCCTCCAGGCAGCTCTTCACCCCCTGTGATTCCCGCAGGATGCTGCTGGAGTTCTGCTGCAGTTTCTGCCTCACAGGAAGAAAAACCCCAGACGAGCAGAGCAGCAAGGCTTGCCCAGGTCCTGCAGGTCTGGGAACCTTCACCTGAGCCAGGACAGGTGTGGGCAGGGCTGAGCCAGCTCACCTGGGCTGCAGCCTGGCACAGGGAGGGACACAGCAGGGACAGCTCTGCTCCTCTGCCCCAGCCCTGGGGCACAGCCAGCCCCTGGAGCTGCTGAGAGAGCCCAGAGCAGCCCCGGGGCTGGAGCCAGGCTGGGAGAGCTGGGGATGCTCACCTGGAGAGGAGAAGCTCCAGGGAGAGCTCAGAGCCCCTGGCAGGGCCTGAAGGGGCTCCAGGAGAGCTGGAGAGGGACTGGGGACAAGGGATGGAGGGACAGCACACAGGGAATGGCTGCCGGTGGCAGAGGGCAGGGCTGGATGGGATCTGGGCAATGAGGAATTGTTCCCTGGCAGGGTGGGCAGGGGCTGGGATGGAATTCCCAGAGCAGCTGGGGCTGCCCCTGGATCCCTGGCAGTGCCCAAGGCCAGGCTGGACACTGGGGCTGGAGCAGCCTGGCACAGGGGAAGGTGTCCCTGCCATGGCAGGGTGAGAGTGGAAAGAAATGATATTTGACATCTCTTCCAATCCAAAGCATTTATAATTTTATGACCCTTCCTCCCCCCAGGCCAACTCCTCCATTTCCAGACCCCACACCCACCAGCAGCCCAGGACACTGCCCCTCCCCAGGAGCATCCCACATCAGGACAACGAGGCTGACCCAGAGCCAGACTTTATTATCCCAGCCACCCCTCAGGGAGCCACAGCAGCCCAAAGCGCCTGGCACCAGAGCTCAGCCAGCCAGCCCACGGCCAGAGGAGGGAACAGATGTGCAGCAGCTCCCACACCCCAGCAGAGACTCACTGCTCTTCCCCCAGGGCAGAGCCAAGGAAATCCCTGTTCTGGTCAGCAGCCTGGAGCTGCTACCACGGCCCAACAACACAGCTTGTGCTGAGCAGCAGGACAGGCAGGCTGAGCTGCTTGTGCCCGTTCCTCCAGAGGGGTCAGAGGGACCCCCCGGGCCGCAGCCCCTCGGGGGGCAGCAGCAGGGCCAGGGCCAGCAGCAGCAGCAGCATGGCGCGGGGCAGGGCGCGCGCGGCGCGGTCGCTCTGCGGAGCCGCGGCGTGGGCCGGCGAGGATCTCCTCCTCCAGGCGTAGTACTCGGCCACGGCCACGTTGGGGTTGCCCTGGGCAGGGTCGAACCACATCTGGATGCAGCGGCCGCTGCCCCGCGGCTCGGGGCTGTAGCTGAAGGAGCCGGACCAGATCTTCTCGCACAGGTCCCGGGCCCGGGGGAACACCTGCCTGAAGGGCCTGCACGCGGAGCCCCAGGGACAGCGGTTGGTTCCTGGGGACACGCACCCGGTGAGAGCACGGCCCTTGTGGCAGAGACAATAGGGACAGGCGCTCGGAAGATCTCGGGCTGTCGCGGAAACCGATAGGGCCCCTCTCTCCCCTGGCTTAGAGAGATAAGAGATAGCCACAGGAAAAGAGGCCAAAGAATGTAACCTCTCCTAACACCGGCCTCTCCCAGTTTCCCTACTAACCATAAAAGGTAAAAGTTAGACCCCAGAGAGCAGAGGTAGAACCAAGGGTATATATATCGATGAGAAAACCAATAAAAGGCTTTTGAACCGTCTGCCATGCTGGTGTCTGCGAGTTCTTAGCCCGAGCAGCCCTGGGGATTTGGGCTGCCGTGCTGTGTTCTGAACCAGGGCGCCGGGCCTTAACCACAAGGCCACAGGCCCTTCCCCCGGCAGGGGCAGCTCACCTGCCCACGGCCACACCTGAGCCGGGCACTGGGGCTCGGCCAGCTGCCCGGCCACCCCGCGAGGGGACAGGGCTCCTGGCAGCAGTGGCACCGTGAGGAAAGGCCCACAGAGCCCACCCACCTGTGGCCCAGTTCCAGCCCTGGTGCCAGTTCTCCTTGCAGGTGAGGGCGTCCTTGCAGTCGTGCCACCACTGCTCGCAGTCCTCCCTGCACAGGGGCACGTGCAGGATCCTCTCCCGACGCCAGCTGCTGTCAGCCTGCAGGACACGGCGTCGCTCATCCTGCGGGTCAAGGGCAGGATCTGCCCCATCCCAGCTCCCCCCAGCCCCTCCCGGGGGCCACAGCTGGTCCCAGAGGAGCCTCAGCCCCAGCACGGATGGGTCGTGAAGAATTCCTTATTCTTCCGTCAGCCAGAGGCCACAAAAGTGATTGGAATCTTTCTACCCTGTGGGAAAAGCTGAGACAGCCTAGATATTGAAGAGAAATCCTTCCCTGGCAGGGTGGGCAGGCCCTGGCACAGGGTGGATCCCTGGCAGTGCCCAAGGCCAGGTTGGACACTGGGGCTGGAGCAGCCTGGCACAGGGGAAGGTGTCCCTGCCATGGCAGGGGTGGCACAGGACGAGTTTTAATGTCCCTCCCAACCCAAAGAGCTCCATGATTCCCTGCTCTGAGCCCACCTGCTCGATCCAGGGCCCCAGGTTGGGTGAGCACTCGTAGAGGCACGTGTCCTGGATGAAGTGGCGCTTGCACTTGGGTGGCATCACCCCGCAGTGGTTCCAGTTGAAGTTGTAGAGGTAGGACTGGTCCTTGTGGGCCTCCAGGCTGGTGTTGGCCGTGCAGCAGGCGTTGTCCTTCCAGGGGGAGCACTGCAACACAGAGGGGACAGGCAGCAGCTCCGGGGGCACAGCCCACAGCCAGCACAGAAGCACTTTGTCTTCTCCAGCAAACTCGTGGTCACTTCGGCCTCAGGAGTGGGCTCTGCAGCAAGGCAGGGCTGGGGGAGCAGGGGATCAGCTCTGAGCAGCAATTGTGCCAGCCCAAGGGACAGAAACAAACACCCCTTCCTCCACTGAGGGGCTGGGGCAGAGCAAGGAGGGTGTTCCACACTGAGGGAGCAGAGGACAGCCTTCCTCCCCTTCCTCCTCTTCCTCCCCTTCCTTCCTCCTCTTCCTCCCCATCCTGCCCTTCCTCCCCGTCCTCTCCTTCCTCCCCTTCTTCCCCATCCTCTCCTTCCTTCCCTTCCTCCTCTTCATCCCTTTCCTTCCTCCCCTTCCTCCTCCTCCTCTCCCTGCTGTGCTCTGGGGGGATAAAGAGGGTGGCACTGAGCTGGCAGACCCCCAGTGCCCCTGCCCGTACCCGGCCATCAGCTGAAGGAGGCAGCACACACTCGGATCTCAGAGCCAGCCCGGCTCCAGCCCCGGGCGAGGCTGCCCGAGCCCCCAGCAGCCCCGGTGTGCAGGTACCCGGCCAGGTGTGCCAGCCAGGTGTGTCAGGCAGGTGTGCCAGGCAGGTGTGCCAGCCGGGTGTGCCAGCCGGGTGTGCCAGCCAGGTGTGTCAGGCAGGTGTGCCAGCCGGGTGTGCCAGCCGGGTGTGCCAGCCGGGTGTGCCGGCCAGGTGTGCCAGCTGGGTGTGCCAGCCGGGTGTGCCAGGCCAGGTGTGCCAGCCCAGCCCAGCCCAGCCCTACCTGCTCGTAGAGCTTGCCCTCGGGGCCCGGCTGGCTCTTGTGGTGTTTGGCATCCATGCAGACGTTCAGCAGCGGGTCCTTCCCCGCCTCGGCAGCCAGCGGCACCAGAGCCACCGCCAGAGCCACCGCCAGCGCCACTGCCATCCCGGGAACCGGCTGGGAGAGAGGGGACAGCGCTGGGAGAGAGGGGACAGAGAGGGAAGAGAGGGGACAGGACTGGGAGAGAGGGGACAGTGAGGGCTGCCATCCCGGGAACCGGCTGGGAGACAGGGGACAGAGAAGGGAGAGAGGGGACAGTGAGGGGAGAGAGGGGACAGGACTGGGAGAGAGGGGACAGGGCTGGGAGAGAGGGGACAGAGAGGGGACAGGACTGGGAGAGGGGACAGAGAGGGGAGAGAGGGGACAGGACTGGGAGAGAGGGGACAGTGAGGGAAGAGAGGGGACAGGGCTGGGAGAGGGGACAGAGAGGGGAAAGAGCTGGGCAGAGACAGGACAGAGATGGGCAGAGGGGACAGCCCAGCAGAGGGGAAAGCCCAGAGAGGGGACAGGGCTGGGCAGAGAGGACAGCCCAGCAGAGGGGACAGCCCAGCAGAGGGGACAGGGCTGGGCACAGGGGACAGGGCTGGGCAGAGGGGACAGGGCCGGGCAGAGGGGACAGCCCAGCAGAGGGGACAGGGCTGGGCAGCAGCGAGGGAGGTGCTGTGGAGCCGGGCACTCCCCACAGCTGGCAGCTCCTCCAGGAGCAATAACACAACACATCCTGATGGCCCCAAGGACACGGGGCAGCCCCCAGCAGGCTGCAAGGCCAGGCACTGCTATCAGCAGGACAAACAGCCCGGAGAGCTCGGGATGAGGAGGGGAGCTCTGGGACACCCGCTCCCTGCGGGGTCCTTCTGCCACCCCACTGCCCAGAGAGAAGCTGCCAGCCCCAGACCTCGTGCAGGGGGAGTCCAGGGATGTCTCTCCTGAGCGTTCAGAGGGGCAGGGAATGCACCAGACACGGCACCCGGTGTGGGCCAGGAGCTGCAGGAGGCCCGTGGTGACTTCAGGACTATGCTAAGACAGGAAAACATTTTATTTATCTGCATCTGAGACTTGGAAACCTGCTCCTGAGGTCTCCAGTGGAGAGCTGAATCATCAAAGAATTACAGAAGGCTGGAAGGAATCTCAAAGCCCATCTCATTCCACCCCTGCCAAGGGCAGGGTTACCTCCCACCATCACAGGGTGCTCCAGCCTGGTCTCATTTCAGCAATTAAAGACATTTCACACATCGTGCCTTGGCCTCCTCTGCCTGCCTAGGGGCTGCGACAAATTTTATAGTCATTTTCTAAAAAAAACCCAGAAACCAACCCCAAACCAATCAGCCAACATCAAGCCTTAACCAAGAAAATTCCTTCCCATTCCTCGTTGACACAGCACAAGGGCCTGAACCAGACACATTGTAAGAAGAATTTTGCAAACCACAGAAGCAAGACAGAGCATTTACAGCATTAAAGTAGCACAAAACTCCCCAGAAAAAGCAGCTACAGGCCTGAGGAGACAGACACAGAAACCTTAGATCTAGGAAGTTGCTAACTTCCATAATAATTACATTTATGCCCCCAAATCAGTGTCAACCTTACCAGCCTGGAAAGCCTGTGCCCTCTCTCCAGCACTCACAAGCAGCTCAGCAGCTTCCTGGGCAGCTTTAAGGGCAAGCTGCTGGCACAGGTGCTGGCCCTGGGGAGGAACTTCCCCCTCTCTTCAGGGAGCTGCGGCTCCTGCCAGTGTTTGTCAGCACAGGGGACAACGTTTGGGTGACAGCCTGGGAGAAATCCAGTGTTTCCTTCCCAGAGCAGGTGTGTGCTCAGCCTGGCCCTTCCCCACAAGCCCTCCTTCCTCCCCTCGCTGGGATCTGCCCTTTGCACGAGGCAGAGAGCCCAGGAGGGGCTGACCCAGGGCTCTGGCTATGGAACAAGTCGTGGAATAAATGCAAAAGGCAGCAAGTGACACACAGGCTGCTGCCTCAGAATGAAAATAACAACTCCCACCACAAACCCGAAGTGCAGGTGCTGAGGGGGAGCAATGCACCTCCTTGGAACACCTGAGCACATCCACTGGTGCTGAGAGCTTCACCAGAGCCCGCGGAAAGCTGTGCCCTGAGTCTTCCTCCTGGAGTCTTCCTCCTGGAGTGCCCTGAGTCTTCCTCCTGGAGCAGCTCTGGGGGCTGATTTGCTCTTTTCTTCACTCACATCACTGCTGTCTCTGTGATGAATCACTTGCCTGAGGAGCCAATCCTTCTAAATTCCATGTGGGAGCACTTTAGGCTCTGGGAGACCCTGCTCTGGTGATCCCTGAGGCTGGAAGAGACCTCCCCACCTTGTCCCCAGCCCAGAGCACTCAGTGCCACCCCCAGGGGACACCTGCAGGGATGGGCACTGCAAAGCTCCCTGGGCAGCCCCTGCCAAGGCCTGAGCACCCTTGCCGCCGGCAAATTCCTGCTGCTGGCCCAGCTGAGCCTGCCCTGGGACCAATCCCTCTGCTCCTGTCCCTGTTCCCTGGGAGCAGAGCCCGAAGATGTCCCCTCCTGGCAGGTAGAAAACAGCTTTGTGCTTGTGCCCCTCACGCTGGAGATGTCCCTGAGCAGATCTCCCCCACCCCTGCTGCCTCCACCAGCAGAGTTTTGCCCCTCGAGGCTCAGGACTGTGGCAGTTTCAGACGCCCTGCACTGTCCTGGCCACGTTTCCTGCTCCTTGCCAGGGAATTTCTAATATCTGGTTTGTTTTTGGAACTGCTGATCACTGAACTGTGTTGTAACATTGTCAGAGCAGTGACAGCTTGTTCCTGAGAGATAATTGTCAGCCACCAGCCTGTCATCTTCCATCTGACGTGTTCTCCCCAGTGCATCACTGTGTGTTCATCTCAGCAGCTTTTCCTTTGAAATCTGTTGTTCTATTGTTCCGTGACTCAGCCGTGCCAGGTGTCACATCCCCCTCTCGTGTAGAAGGGAGCACCCAGGAGCCATAGGTGCCCATGGTCACAAAGGAATGGCAAAAGCCAGAAGGGTCCCAAAAACGAAGCTCACCAGGTTTTATTGGCCAGCTCCACCCTTGGTGTGAAAATGGATGCATGCTTTGCCCCTGCGTTGTAATAGTCAGAGAAATAAAAGAGTGAAATGAAAGAGGGAGGCAGGAGAGTGTGAAAGAGAGATTGGGTAGGAGAGGAGATCACCAGTCCTGGCTCCAGCACTGATCCAAGCAGGGTGGTCCTGGGGCCCTGCCCGGGTGTGGGGACACTTTTTGTAGGAAAGATTCCCCACCCTGGCACCCAGCTTCCTGCTCTTCGTGTGAGCACGCGCAGTCTGCTCTTCTGGGCCTTTCTGGAAACGGCTCCAGGGGCTCTGGGGGCCTCTTGGTGGATCCCTCTCTGCTGGATCTCTCTCAGTCAGCAGCTGATGCCCCTCCTGACCCCAGTGCTGCCCTGGAGCTGTCCTTTGTCTTGTTTGGTCACCAGGGACCAGCACAGGGAAGTTGGCCCCAGGACGGGGCTGCCCCAGGAGGGCACTGCCCCTTCCCGGACACATCCTGCCCTAATCCTGGTTTAACCTCCTTGCTCCAGTGGACAGCAGGAATGTGAGGCACAGCAAGGCTTTTACTCCTTCCTGCCCAGGATTCTGCACCAGGGACCTTTTCAGATTTTTACAGCTGGTCCTGGAGCCATTTGGTGTCATCACACGCTTCGTTGACTTGATGTTTACCCAGACATCATTTGCTGAAAAGCAGAAATCATAGAATCAAAGGAGTGTTTGGTTGGGAGGGACATTAAAGCTCATCCAGTTCCAGCTCCTGCATGGGCATGGACAGCTTCCACTATCCCAGTTTGCTCCCAGCCCTGTCCAGCTTGGCCTGGAACACTCCCAGGGATGGAGCTTGTCCATTTACCTGTGGTTCAGCCCTGAGTTACATTTCCTGTGACCTTTCCCTGCACAGACACCGTGTTCACAGGTGTGTAGATCCCCCCATCTCTCCAAGAAACTTTCCAGGTTGTCCCATGTGAATGCCCAGACCTTGTCCTTGTGCATGGGATGATGCAGAACATAGGGAATGTCTCCCTGTTGTCCTGCCTGTATCCCTGCACACCCCCTTTACCTAAATATGCTGCTTTTCCCCACACCAGACGCTCATTCTTTGCTCTCTTTGTCCCTCCAAGTCACTTTTGTCCCTCTCTGAGCTTGCATTTCCTTAAGTGAGCGCTCCAGAGCTGTTTGTAGCCACGGGGTCTCCAGCAGCAGCCGTGCCCGTCCCTCACTGCCTTGTGCCCCTCTGCTGGAGGCCCTGCCGTCGTGGTGGGCATTTCCCTGCACTACCTCAGTGTGCTGGAGCCTTGAATCTCTGCCCTGAGCACAGAGTTCTGCTGCTCTCCGTGTCCCATCAAAGGCACGTTTGCACCTGGCAGTGAGGAGCAAAGAGCCATCGCCATCGTCCCAAGGAAAGCTGGTGAAAACAAACCCACAGGACAAGTCCACAGGGCAAAGCTGGCACGGCTCGGTTCCCGAGACCTTGCAAATTCAGTACAAAGCCCACGGCCAGCACTGGCCATGCTCTGGGCTGTGGGTGCAGGACCTGGGCCACAGCTCTCAGCCAGGCTGGGCACAGAACCACGGAAAGACGGAAGGGTGGCGAGTTAGGAGGGGTCTTGGGCCTTCAAAGAGACAGGAGCACTTGTTGGTTGGTGTAAGGTTGTTTACTTCATTAATGCATCAGCCTCGAAGGCAAAGAGCTCAGAGTATTAAAGTGCATGCTAAAAAAAGCTAAAAGCTTTCTGGCACAGAATCCTAATGTTTAGAAGCAGCAGCAGCAGCAGCAGCTACTGCTACCTCTTTTGCATCCCAGCACAGGGGGATTTTATTCATAAATCATATAATCAGCTAAAAACACAATCCTAAAACATTCTTCCTACACCTATCCTGGCTTGATTCTAGTGTGTGAAAGCAGTGTCAGTTCTTACCCAGAACCTACACACAGAGTTCTATCTGTTCACACAAATTGTTCTATCTGGTCACACAAATTGTTCTATCTGTTCACACAAGTGGTTCTATCTGGTCACACAAATTGTTCTATCTCTTCTATCTACAAATGCAAGCAATGTTCTGCTATGTTTTCCTTATGTCTGGAGCTAAGTTAATTTTGTGCAAGGTATCACTACTGAACTTTAAACTAGGCTTTAGGGTCTTTTACTGCTACCACAGTCTCTTAAGATATATTTCTACTTACTTAAAACAAAAACTTGCACTCCTGCTTCATGTCTGTGAGGCTTAATATATTTCAGTTTCTCTGAAGGCTCTAGTTCAATCCCTGCATTCCTTTCTATCTCGGAGGGACTCAGAGAGGCTTTTATTTCATGTTTTCTAACAGAAGGGTTTGGGTTGGGAGGGACCTTAAACCCCATCGGGTTCCACCCCTGCCACAGGCAGGGACACCTTCCACTAGAAGAAAATGAAGCTCCAGAGAAGAAAGACATCTGTTCGGTCTCTGTGTCAGAGGGACTCCCAGCTGGCATGGGGAGGGTGTTTCCCTGAGGATTTTGGTGATGGCAGCTCCCGTGGGAGGCTGAAAGCCTCAAGGCTGCCGGAGGGGCTGAGGGTGCCACTGCAGCCTGGGACAGCTGGGCACTGATCACTCCCTGCCATGGAAACGGGTGCTGGGCTCATTTGGGAGATGGGAGGCTGCTTGGAAAGTCAATCCCGCAGAATTCAAACACCCAGCTGAGTCACAGCAGCTCCTTGCTATCATGAACCAGTCTGAGCAGGAATAAACCAGTGCCTGAGGACAGACTGTGCTGTGGCTTTGGGCCTGAGCAGACCCGTGCCACAGATTTTGGGTTCAATTTCATTACAATCCAGATGAGGACTACCTGACCAGACAGGAGAACTGGAGAAGGGCCTGGGTGGTGGTGGGTGCCAGTGAGCCCAGGGTCACCAGGAGACCTTGCAGGAAGGTGCTGATCCCTGGTAGTGGGGCTCTCAGGCTGGGCAGGGCTGGGCACAGCGGGCAGGGCTGGGCACAGCGGGCAGGGCTGGGCACACCGGGCAGGGCTGGGCACAGCGGGCACGGCTGGGCACACTGGGCAGGGCTGGGCACAGCGGGCAGGGCTGGGCACAGCGGGCAGGACTGGGCACACCGGGCAGGGCTGGGCACAGCGGGCAGGGCTGGGCACACCAGGCAGGGCTGGGCACACTGGGCAGGGCTGGGCACAGCGGGCAGGGCTGGGCTCACCGGGCAGGGCTGGGCACAGCGGGCAGGGCTGGGCACACCGGGCAGGGCTGGGCACACTGAGCAGAGCTGGGCACAGCGGGCAGGGCTGGGCACACCAGGCAGGGCTGGGCACAGCGGGCAGGACTGGACACATCGGGCAGGGCAGGGCACAGCGGGCAGGGCTGGGCACACCAGGCAGGGCTGGGCACAGCGGGCAGGACTGGGCACACTGGGAAGGGCTGGGCACAGCAGGCAGGACTGGGCACAGCGGGTAGGACTGGGCACACCGGGCAGTCCCTGCCCAGGCTCTGGGACACGGCTGGGTGTCCCAGTCCAGCACAGTGATGGGCTGCAGGTGCTGCACGGGCTGGGGGGGTTTATTTCCAATCCCCCTGCTTTTCCACAAACCAATCAGCAATGCTTTAGCGTGCACTACCATTGTGATAACAATTTTGAGATTTAATGTTAAAAAAACTTCTCACTCGCCTGCCACTGCACAGATTCTCATTCCACTCAATAAAACTTCTATACTTACTGTATAGAATGATGCCCCGGGCTACTTTCACCATCAAGGAAACTACCAGAAACCACAGGGAATCCAGCAACAGATCCCCATTTTTTAAGAGAAACCTCCAAAGAAACCCAACAAGCTTAATAAATAGTAGCACCCACCATCTCCCCATGTAGAAATCTTGGCAGGGAAAATGCCCAGAAAAGGCCAAGGTGTTCTTTCAGAACTCATATACTTGACAAGATATTCAATACTTGACAAGATGTATTCCAAGCACAATTTCTCCACCTCTGAGGAGCAGGGCCTTGAACACCTGCACCTCCCACACCTGTGCTGAGCTAATCCCCAGTATTGCGCAGTAATCAGCCTCACAAATTCACAAATTAGTGAAAAATTCTTCTCCCACTGCTGACAGTCTCATGGCCAACATCTGCTTCTAGTCCCACTGTCACGACTCCAGTTGTGTACAGAGCAAAAATCGGGTCAGTCCTGCTCCACCAGAAAGCTGCAGGAAGCCAAATGTGACCCCACAGTCACGGCATGAGCTGGGCTGGAGCTGGGGGCCTGTGCTGGTGGCTCACAGGGGTGGTGGGGCCACACAGCTCAGAACGACAGCAGAAATTATGTTAAAATTGAAGGGCAAGCTCATCACCTGGTGCCAGCTGGAATCACTGCACAGACATGGGTGATAAAATTCCACCTGAGAGTTGTG